AGGAGGTGAACTGTTACAAACACACAACCCTATCATGTACATATGACTGTTGGGGACAACCAAGAGCGAGGCAGAACATTGTCTAGTGAAGAATTGACAAGATGCACGAGTTACAGTAGATCAACATTCAAACATGACACACATGACTAGTGCAATCAAAGACCCAAGTAGCGATTTACTACCAATTGAGGAAATGGACAATGCATGAAGGAAATATTTTATGCCAACTCTAAAATGAGCAAAGATACAAGTAGCGATTCACAACCAAGTGAAGGAATAGACAAAACATGGAGAGAGTGAGAGAATCACACTCCCAAGCTTGAAAACACAAAGACGGAAGTAGCAATTTACTACCAAGTGAAGAAATAGACAATGCATAAAGGAAAGATGCTCTCAACACTAGAATGAGCAAAGACATAAGTAGCGATGCACAACCAAGTGGAGGAATGGACTAGACAAAGAGAGAGAGTGCGAGATTCTCACTCCCAAGCTTGAAGAAACAAAAATGAAAATGGTGATTTACAACCAAGTGAGGAAATTGACAAGACATGAGGAAAAAATGTCCTCAATACTAAAATGAACAAAGATACAAGTAGTGATTTATACCGAAGTGAAAAAATGAACAAATCATGGAGGGAGAGAGAGAGAATCACACTCCCCAGCTTGAAAACACAAATACGAAGTGGCGATTCACAATCCAGTGAGTAAATGGACACTGCATGAAGGAAAAATGCTCTCAACACTAGAATGAACAAAGAAACAAGTAGTGATTTATGACCAAGTGGAAAAATGGATAAAACCTGTGTAGCATCGTGTTCGGGTTCGGTGACCGGACCCGAACATTCGCGACCGAATGCGAACGAGCGCCAAAACCTCCCGAACGCGAACATATTCTAAAAAAACTCTGAAAAAAAATATATGTTATGTAAAAGAATGAAACAAACAATTTTTGCCTCTGGGGCATGCTCAAATTCGTAACCAAACTCGAGTTAAAAATCAAAAATATATATTTTTTCTTTTTCTTTAATATGTTCGGCCGAACACGTTCGGAGGGCGTTCGCCCGAACACTCGAACATATTCAGACGTTCAGAAAAGCTCCGAACATGTTCGGTGTGCTAGAATCTCACTCCCAAGTTTGAGAACACAAAGATGAAAGTGGCAATTCACAACCATATGAGAAAATGGACACGCATGAAGGAAAGATGCTCTCAACACTAAAATGAATTAAGATACAAGTCGCGATTTACAACCAAGTGCAAAAATTGACAAAACATAGAGAGAGAGTGAGATAATCTAACTCACAAGCTTGAAAATACAAAGTTGAAAGTGACATTTCACAACCAAGTGAGGAAACAGACAATGCATGAAGGAAAGTTGCTCCAAACATTAGAATGAACAAAGATACAAGTACCGGTTTACAACCAAGTGAGAAAATTGACAAAACATGGAGGGAGAGTGAGAGAATCTCACTTTCAAGCTTGAAAATACAAAGATGAAAGTAGCGATTTACAACCAAGTGACGAAATGGACAGTGCATGAAGGAAAAATGCTCTCAATGTAAGAATAAACAAAAATACACGTAACGATTTACAACAAAGTGAAAAATTTAACAAAACAGGAAGGAATAGTGAGAGAATCTTACTCCTGAGCTTAAAAACAGAAAGATGAAAGCAATGATTCACATCCAATTGAGGAAATGAACAATGCATGAAGGAAAGATGCTCTCGACACTAGAATGAACAAAGATACAAGTAGCGATTTACAACAAAGTGGGAAAATCGACATGGAGGGAAAGTGAGAAAATTTCACTCCCAAGCTTGAAAACACAAAGATGAAAGTGATAATTCACTACCAAGTGAGGAAATGGATAATGTATGAAGGAAAAATGCTCTCAATATTAGAATGAACAAAGATACAAGTAGCGATTTACAACGAAGTGGGAAAATAGACAAAGCATGGAGAGATAGTGAAAGAATGTCACTCCCAAGCGTGAAACCACAAAGATGAAAGTGACCATTCGCAACCAAGTAAGGAGATGGATAATGCATGAAGGGAATATGCTCTCAACACTAGAATGAACAAAGATACAAGTAGTGATTTACTACGAAGTGGAAAAATAGACAAAACATTGAGAGATAAAGTTGAAAACATCAAAGGTGAAAGTGGCGATTTACAACCAAGTGACGAGATGGACAATGCATGAAGAAAAGATGCTCTCAACATTAGAAGACAAAAAAATACAAGTACCGATTTACAACTAAGTGAAAAATTCGACAAAATATGGAGAGGGAGTGAGAGAATATCACTCCCAAGCTTAAAAACACAAAGCTGAAAGTGACGATTTACAACTAAGTGAGGAAATGGACAATGCATGAAGGAAAGATGCTCGCAACACTATAATGAACAAAGATACAAGCAGCGATTTACAACCTCGTGGAAAAATTGATAAAACATGGAGAGAGAGTAATAAAATCTCACTCTCAAGCTTAGAAACACGAAGATGAAAGTGACGATTTACAACCAAACGAGGAGAAAGACAGTGCGTGAAGGAAATATGTTCTCAATACTAGAACAAGCAACGATACAAGTAGAACATCGCCCAAACCATGGGCCTCTTAATGTGCCTCATGGTGAACCGAGGTACCCCCAAGGCTCTCCCTCACCACTAGGCCTCTCCAGGAGTGCATGACCCTCCTTTTGACCAGGTACATGCAATCCGAGTGGTTAGTACCAACTCAGATTACCCCGAGAGCGTCCTCATGCCTCATTTTCGTTTTTAGATGTTGCCCCTTGATTATTGAATGATCTCCCCTTGAACCAACTGTTTGAAAAAATATACTTCGACATCGTTTATGGGCGATATAGTCACGTTTGACTCTAGTCATTTAAATGTGCTCCTGTTAATTGAATTATCAATTATGAAATTTATAAATAAACATTGATTTAATAATAAAATTCATAATTAAAAAACGAATTTCAAGTAAATGAAATACAATAATCAGTTTCATTTTCATTTTCAGATGCTGCCCTTGGCTCCGAATAATCAAGGAGCAAACTTTTTTGCAAGAAAAATACCTTATTAATCTTTTTTTCGATTTTCTCTAATTCTACCCCGTTTTTGTAAGTCGAGGTATAAAAAATTTCAGCCTTGGATCTGTATTATGAGCTACCCACAAGTGCCTCATGCTTCAGATTTGAGCCCCTTGGCTCCCCTTTTCAATTTTCAGTGCATCTGGCTCCGGTTTTTTAGCAAATGCACATTCTGTTTTGTTTCTTTCTATTTTTGGCTACCAACTCATTTCGGAGTTGGCCGTTTGAGTTGGCCTCACAAAAAAACGGCCATATTGTCTCCTTCATGAGATCTGATCTTATTTCCATGGCCTAGAAAAAAACCGACTAACTCCCTTTTGCTTTTTCTCCCATTTTATCTTTTTTTTTCTTTGTTTTTTATTTTCTTTTATTTTATTTCTAACGTGACAAGTGTCAAGTAGCTGTTGAGACTTTTTCCTAGGCCATGGATCTTGATCTAGATCAAGTTGTCGTCCATCATTTCTCGGATCACAATAATAAGAACCCCGCACTCATAGAGGCTTCATTTTGCCTCCGTTACTCCCAAATTTTTACCCCCCTTGCTCCGATTTTCCCTTGGCAGCCTATTTTCTACCTAGAGCCATTCGAGACTCTATTTTCTCTTGCTTGAGTAGTCTGAGATATCTTGGCCTACAAGGTAGGCCTTCCTTCTTTGTTTCTCCCTTCCTTTCACCCCAAATTCTTCTCACCTTGACCCTACATTTGCTTGCACTAGTAGTTGTTAATATTTTTCACTGATATATCTGAATCTTGACGGTGCAACTTGCTTTGCTTGCCCATCCTTCATGTTGGTTCATTGTTCCTTGAGACCCATCAAGTCCCTGCCACTTCTCTCATACTAGTCTCACCGGTAGTCCCGTCGGCACATGTCTTGATTTTTGACTATTTTTATTTGGGCCCATCTAGTCCCCGACAACGTTCCTCATGATATCCTATTTTTATTTAGGACTTCCTAGTCCCTGTCAGTCTCAATCTTACTTCTCAATGTACCTCAAGTGCGCCTAACATTATCGGTCACGAGATCCTCGTCTCACGATCGTAATTTATCGTCTCCACTTGGCTATGCTTGAGACACCACTTTTTAGCATTTTGGGCGTGTCAAAGATCATATTCCTTTGGTTTTGGCAACCCCCATGCAGTTCGTTAATTCCCGCAGTGCAATGCTGGTTGTTTCCCTAATCTCATTGCCCCCATACTTGTGTGTTTGTGGTTAGCGCATGACAATGATGGTAACAACACAACGTAGCAATCCCACAACGAAAATGACGACAGAAAAGAAGACCAGATGAGAGAAGACAGAGGAGACGACAAAACCAATAGACGATGTCGCCGAACGCGACTTGCATTACGAAAAATAATCGATGAGCACAAAGGCAGAAGTCAAACTTCCGCATGGTGTAGGACACTATCGGTTTCACCTGGTCGCCTACCAGGATCAGCAGGGGTCTGAAGTCGGTAGGAAGGACATCAAAACTACTGCCTATATACTCGAGTAGATAATCGTCGGACAGACATAGAAGCGTCGTAAAGAACCACTTGTCGATAAGCCTGATAGCTTATCATATCCTCTAGAAACGTCGTCGATGATACAGTATCAAAAAAAGACAATTCCTTACCTAGAACCGCAATTTGAAACTATTGAGACGAGGAACTTACATCATAAACTTATGTCAAAAAACAAATAACAGATCAAAATCAGCCTAAGGACGGCTACAAATCGAGAATAGTTATTCATCAAATCCCAGGTCCTAACATACCGACCACAGATCGAACCTTGCACGGAATCCAAACTTCAACCGCAACAGTATCAGCAACCTTAGCACCAGGTCTAATCGAAAGAGAAAGAACCACCCCCCCCCCCCCGGAAAATCAAGAATAGTTATTCGTCAAATCCCAGGTCCTAACATACCGACCACGGATCGAACCTTGCACAGAATCCAAACTTCAACTGGAATTCAAACTTCAACCACAACATTATCGGCAACCTTAGCACCAAGTCTGATCCAAAGAGAAAGAAAAAAAAATCGAAAAACTCAGAAAAACACAACAACCCTTCTAATGACGAGGGTGCTTCAGAGAACCCTGATCCGAGAATCACCCAAGAAGCGGCCCCAATTCGTCAAAACCGGTAGCCATTCCTTCCATAATCCGGCATATTTATTAGAAAAATTCACCGACGCATCGTCGAAGAAGGAGTCACGATACCCCCGTTTCCATAATTCACACTTAAGGGGGAACAGAAAGGGCAAAACCAAACCCTCCATGGAGGAATAAGTTCTTGCACAATGAAGAAATGCATAGATGACAACGACCTTCTGCTGCTTACTCGAAAAAGACACATAGTCTTGAATGTTTTGAAAAACCAAATCTCTATTCACCTCCCCACGTTGGTTTTTCGTCATGGGAAAACAGAGAACACCTTTCGTTCTGCGAAAGACCTTGAGCTCGCAGCCAAGGAAGTCCCAACAATTATCCTCACCTGTCCGTTCCAATACCAGATTCGGATCATAGCAACTTCTAAAAAGTTCAACAATCCTTTGCGCTCGCTGATAACCTTCAGAATCCTGACTCTTGCATTTAATGAAAACAGAGACATCGTCCATCAGCCTAACACCCTTGAGAAGTTTCCGACCACACCCCAGGCTGTTCAAAAAGACAAACTCATTGAAAGAACAAAGGAGACAAGCCAGCCGACGACTTGACAACTTACCCATCGGGATACCCTCAATCTGCTGTAGCAAACGTCCCGAGGCTGACCAAGCTCATAGGAAACGAAGTCAAAGATTTGAGAAAATGTGATCTTCTTCCAGCCCATTTCAACACATACGCGGAGCAGTTTAGCACCCTTACCTTGCTTGCGCACTACAACAGCACTCAGTACCTTGTCCTTCAAGTAATCGATCACCCAACGCAAGGCAGAAAGAATTGAGGCATGGGGGATATGAGAAAACATCTCCTTGATATCGAAGGAAGTGCCAACCAAAAAACTGTCGCCGTCCAACCCGTGGTTAATATTCTTCAGGCAAGCCAGAAGTCCGTCAGCACAACGGAGATTGAAGTGCGAATCAGCAGGAAGATTCCATAACAAGGTGTTAACCGCGCGTGACACAACCCTACCCCCAGATGCAGAGCATTCGGAAAACGACGGGCAAATGGGTCTCCATCGGGAAACATCCTTATGTTTAGGAAGACAGTACGCCCGACGAATACTCCCTGACTTGTTCCATGAACTGATGATTCGGAAAACGACGGGCAAATGGGTCTCTATCGGAAAATATCCTTATGTTTAGGAAGACAGTACGCCCGACCAATACTCCCTAACTGGTTCCATGAACTGACCTCCTTCAAATTTCCCTCGGGATAGCTAAGCTGGCACTGAGCCAAAATTTCCTCCTCAATAAGTGAACACGAGACAAAGGCAGGGTTACCAAGGAAGAGTTTTTTCATACCCATCTCATAAACTATCGGGCAGCAGGCATATGTGTCACCCATGTTATGATCAAGAGGAGAACATACAAGACCTCAGAGTAACGGAAAGAAGGGGGCTAGATCGTCTTCACAAAATTCACCACATCCACCCAAGGTATCGGCTAAGCAAAGACAGTGTCGAAGCTCATTATCAGACAACAAGAAAAAATCAAGCACAGGGAGAGACAGGTGCCGAGAAAAAGCGTCAGATAGTTGTCTCCGTAAAGAACTCAACACATTCGTGCGAGAAGGTCGCAAAATGTTATTCGAATTACGCATCCAAGCAGGGAAGAGAGAGACATCTTTGAACCGAAAAGCCACATGATTGTCAACACGAGGGAGTTGCCGATCAAGGGATGAACAACAACGTTCCGCATGATCAATACGCAAGAAATTACAAAAATTATGAACAAGATCACCCACCTTCCTATTCCGACACCACACCACCCGTATACGTCGAGAAAGCATACCCTTCCAACCAGTAGGAATATTAAGAGTAGAGAGCAGCCCAACACACAACCGACTAACCCTGGTTTTACATATACTCACATCATAAGTCAGTCGAACTACAAGATGCTTCCGGATATGAACCCCAAAGGTCGAGAGGCATGAATAAGACAAGATACATCGAAGATGAAAACGAGTTTGTTTCTCGCTGAATGTTCGCAGGACAGTAAAAGCGGCAACAAACTGTTCCAAGTCCCAAAGGCGCAAATTCACACGACTACTAGGATTGGCTAACAACTCAGCGAGCGGAGCTTTAAGAGACAAAGATCGACTTAAGAAGGGTACAATCGATATAAAAGACAGAGTAACATCACCACGAATCCATGCGCGAGTAAAATGTAGCTCTATAGTACCAAATGAGCTCGAAATAAGGCTACCTCCAAATAATCTTCTAACGACCTTCCATCGGTCAACAACAAGATCTTCACCAACGCAATGTACCACAATCCTACATATAGCTCATCGGCGACAGTCTTCGAGGATGGTCAGAAGGCTGGTAAATACCAACCCAGTGGCACAGTGAAAGCGGACAATCGAGGCACTCGGTTTAACAACCACATCTGAAACTGACTTCTGCTTCTTTCTTCGTAGACGTTCTCTTCGCCCAGGACGGCATTTCCGAGGTCGTCGAGGTTTATTCCCTGTATTCAGCGCAGGACAATGCAAACGGATAAAGAACTTTTATGTTTCCACCAAGTCCTCAGAAGACACATAGCAAAGAGGAATAGCCACATAGGTATGCACCCCACATCTCCTCATCCATTTGTACAATCTCTCATTTCGTTTACCCCCATCAATTGCGTTAGGATGACAAGCACGATAGGTATGTTCCCTCCACCTCTGATACAGATCACGCTGAGTACTACCAATATAGATGTGTCGCGACCACGGAGAAACCAAGGCGTACACGAGAGGTCCAAACCACTCATCCTTACACTCAGTACCCACTGAGGAAGCATGAACAAAGAAATCCGATAACTTACGACCCCAAGGAACTCCTCCTTCCAGAATTAGACAACACAGCGCAAGGTTGAAAAGACAGTTAACCGCTCGACATCGCAGAAAATCAATAGACAGAGATATAATCTTACAGCAAGTCTTAACGGCATCCCAAAGGAAAGCCGCGTTCGGGCGTGACCCTAAGAGGTAGCCGAGTCACACCCGTCATTCGCGGCTAAATCAGCACTTCCATCATCGGTAACAACGACAACCGTCTTACCTTTACCTCCAGTAGTGTCAAAAGCCCGAGATGCCTGTTTGAGAGCAATATCCTCCTTAGTTGGATCCAAGGTAGTATAGACCACCCCTTCACGTTGACAGATAGCCATGATTGACTCCTTGTTCAAACCACGCAGCTCCCGTCTAACATTCTTGAGAAAAGCATCACGATTGACCGCCATATTCACAGGACTGGCCACCACTTTCTCCTTCCCTTTCCTGGCGGATGGCCCAACAGCCTTGTCCAATCGTTCCTTCAGATTAGTACTAGTCTTCTTCTTTTTATCAGTTTGCATCTTTGCCAATTCGTTCTCCAGTGCTTCAATCTCCTTCTCGGACTCCTTCCGAGCATTGACTTCCTTCAATCGCATTTCCTTGAGCAACTCAACTTCAGCTTCATGTCTCTCAACAATACCTTTGAGCTGTGGATCAACCTGACGAGCAACATTAGGAGCCACCGCCGGTGTAACACGAGGGCGAACCCGAGCTTCAGTCCTAGGAGTTTGGCAAATGACCACACAGCCACGCTTGTTCCCAGGACGCAAGGCTTCATTTCTCCAAATTCTCCATACCTCTGCATTATTTTCGGCTTCTTCACACTGACGCTGGAGTGCCAGGATCACATCCTTCAAAGAGGCAAAACGTTTCTCAGCAGCACTCTTCATCTCGGCTTGCTCCCACCGTAAGCGCACCATCTCGTCACTCTTCCCTCCTGGTCTGTTCACAATAACAGAAGTACTTGTTCGATGATGCATTTGCTTCAGACTTTCCACCTCAGCCTTGAGCTTCGCAACTTCATCACTCCCATCGGACTTATTTCCATTAATCGCTTCAACTACCTTGTCCAGTTTCTCCCCCATTTCCTTTTGCATGCGTGCCTGATATTCTTCCCTTTCGTGTTTGTCCCGCAAATGTCGATCTTCGTTTTCTCGTAATCTTCTTTTTTTCTCGGCTTCTTCTTGTTCATCGCGCTCTTGAGCTTCTTCAGCATTGTGCCTTATGCTGATCTTAGCAACCTGTTCTTCTAAAGTACTAACACGTTTTCCAAGCCAGCCCCCACCACTTGTAGCCTGCGAATAAGACTGGACGACAGTACCAATGTTAGTCCCAGGAACAGTTAGCAAAGGAGTTTGGGCAGGGACGATAGCAGTAGAAGTAGATGCTTGGAGGCGACGATTAGGGAGAGGGCAGTACCTAGAGATATGACCGGGTTGTTGGCAATTATAACATGTTCTAACAGTGGTGAAGGCAGTGTTGACGTTGCTAGCCATCGTAAAAAGGTCGAAGCCACACGACACTAGTGCAAGTTCTATATCGGTTACTCCGGGAATAAAAGTGTGCTTGTGCTTAGCGCATGACAATGATGGTAACAACACAACGTAGCAATCCCACAACAAAAATGACGACAGAAAAGAAAACCACATGAGAGAAGACAGAGGAGACGACAAGACCATTAGACGATGTCCCCGAACGCGACTTGCATTACGAAAAATAATCGATGAGCACAAAGGCAGAAGTCAAACTTCCGCATGGCGTAGGAACCTACCGGTTTCACCTGGCCACCTACCAGGATCATCAGGGGTTTGAAGTCGGTAGGAAGGACATAAAAACTACTGCCTATATACTCGAGTAGATAATCGTCGGACATACATAGAAGCCACGTAAAGAACCATTTGTCGATAAGTCAGCTACCTTATCATATCCTCTAGAAACGTCGTCGCTGGTACCATATAAAAAAAAGACAATTCCTTACCTAGAACCGCAATTCGAAACTATCGAGACGAGGAACTTACATCAGAAACTTATTTAAAAAAACAGATAACAGATCAAAATGAGCCTAAGGACGGCCACAAATCGAGAATAGTTATTCGTCAAATCCCAGGTCTTAACATACCGACCACGGATCGAACCTTGCACGGAGTCCAAACTTTAACTGGAATCCAAACTTCAACCGCAACAGTATCAGCAACCTTAGCACCGGGTCTAATCCAAAGAGAAAGAAAAAAAAAACCCAAAAAATCAAGAATAGTGCCTGTCTCTTATACACATCTAGATGTGTATAAGAGACAGGTATCAGCAACCTTAGCACCGGGTCTAATCCAAAGAGAAAGAAAAAAAAAACCCAAAAAATCAAGAATAGTTATTCGTCAAATCCCACGTCCTAACATACCGACCACGGATTGAACCTTGCACATAATTCAAACTTCAACTCGAATCCAAACTTCAACCGCAACAGTATCAGCAACCTTAGCACCGGGTTTTATTCAAAGAGAAAGAAAAAAACCCCGAAAAATTTAGAAAAGCACAACAACCCCTCTAATGACGAGGGTACTTCAGAGAACCCTGATCCGAGAATCACCCAAGAATCGGCCCCATACTTGGCCTTAACTGGAACAAAATAGAGCGACACATTTCCAAGTGCATCCGTGCTCAATATTGGTTTTGAATGTACTTACAAGTAAAAACATGTGTTTCTCTCCCCTTATGCAATCCGTTTTATCTCGGTTGCAGAAGGTCTTGCTTTTCTCTGATTTTATCAAAAAATCTAAAAAACATCAAGATACTTTGTGACCGATTTACCCAAGGATGAATCCGGTCACAAATGTAAGTGACCGTTTTTTACAGTCAGTGGTTACTTTTCTTTTTTTTTCTTTTCGTTTTTTTTTTCCCCCACAAGATTCGCACAGTAGTGACTTGTTAATCCCTACTGTGCCAATCCCCACTATGTCAGTCCCTACTGACGATCAACTCACTCTCACCTTCTCCTCCTATTTTGTTTCATTCTCCCTCCTTTTTCTCCCTTTTTTTTTTTTTTTTTTTTTTTTTTTAACATGACAAGTGTCAACTAGTTGTTGAGACTTTTTATAGATCTTCGATCTTAATCTAGGCCTAGATCATGTTCAAGGGGCAGTCCGTTATTTCTCAGACTGCAATTATGGCACCCCCATGCACATGGGAACCCCATTTTGTCACCGTTAACTTCAAATTGTGACTCCTTTTGCGCCGATTTTCCCTTGATAGTTTATTTCTCTCATGGGGCCTCTCAAAACTCTAATTTCTCTAGTCTAGCTGGTCCGAGATATCTCGGACCGCAATCTACACCCATCTTCCTCATTTTTTTCCCTTCCTTGCCCTCTAAAGTTCTCCTGTTTGATCCCGTTAGTGTTTGCACTAGTGGTGCTAATATTTTGGGCTATTAACTTGATATCGACGATGCATTTTTCTTTGATTATTCATTCCTCATGATGCCTCATACTTCTCTTGGGACATCTGAAGTCCCCAACACTTGTCTTTTACTAGTTCCCCAACCCTATTCCCACCGGTGATCCCCCTGGTCCCGATGTCAATTTGTGATGATTTTTATTTGACCTCATTTTGGTCTCCGACATTGCTTCTCATGTCTTGCCAATTTTATTTGGGACTACCTTGACCCTGATAATCTCAATTTTCTCTGCTTCATGTGTCTCAAGCGTGCCAATTATTCTTGAACGGGTGATCTTGATCGTGCGGTCACCGTTCATCGTCGTAATTTAATAATGCTTCAGTTTTTTTTTTCTAGTGTCTTGCGGTCGTCAAGGCTCAATTTCTTATGGCATTGACACTCCCTTGTAGTCCGTTACATCTCGGGGTGCAATGGTGACCCATTTTTTTGTCTCATTTTTCCCATATTTGCCTCAAACTAAAACATAATGAAGCGGTTCATCCCCAAGTGCATCCGGACCCAATATTGGTTGCGGACGTACTTGAAATATGTGTTTGCTTTACCTTTTGTAGTCCGTTGCATCTTGGCCTACTTCCTTCTTGATTTACCTTGGTTTTTCTCTCCGGGAATTAAAAAAAATCAAGATATTTTATAACTGTTTCATCCTATGATGAGTTTGGGCACAAAATGTATTTCAAACATGTGTTTTTTTGCTCTAGGTGTCCGTTTTTGTCCCAATTGCATCTAAACTTTATGCAGTCATGTTCAAGGCACCTAGGCCTCTTTTGCGAAGGGGCAAGTTGACCATGATGTGGCAGCTTGCCCTTTTTCCACTCCCACACTCTCCTACCTCTCTCATTCTCCCTCTAGGTTTTTTTCTCCTCTTCTTTGCTGACCATTTTATTCTGAAACCCAATAGAACCTTATTTTTCAGGTTCAGTGTATCTAGGTCTTTTGTATTCAAGACCCTTGTAGTCCATTGCATCCGTTTTGAGTCCCTTCTCAATTTCAAGGCCTAGACGCCTTGAAATTGAGGCTCTCCCGCTCTTTTTCTAGTCCTTTTTATTTTGGTTCCCAAGGTCACTTATTTTCAGATCGCCCGTGCCTGGGCACTTGCTTGGGTGGTACCTACTAGCCCTTCTTGTATCCTACGTGCTTGGTCCACGACCCTTAGGTTTTCCTCATGTCGTATTCAGATGGTCCCCTCGCCCTTATGCTATAATCTTATGTGCCGGCGTCAAGGCACTATTTTCCTTGGCGTCGTTAGACCCTTCTTCTTGCGGTACTCAGCATCTAAGTATTATTATTTTTCTGGTTTACTTATTTGCTGTAGCATTTTGCCGACCGTAACTCCGTGGTCTCTTCCTAGTCTAAAGACTCTGGCGGTTTCGGGCCCTGTTTTGGGTTATTGGTGTCGATAATCTTACCTTAGTCCTTCATCCTCTCTTTCTCTGTTATCTTCTCATCCCGGATTCTTCTATTGTGCACATCTTAGCCATATATCATGTCTCAAGGGTCGGAACTTCATTCGGGAACCAAAGGTTCCGACACCGGTCATTAGTACGTTGGGTGATAATAGAGAGATGATGGTATGTGAGTATGCTAAAGGGGTCAAGGCATACTTCCGGTTGGAGCCAGGGGGCAAAGCAGAGAAAGTGTTGCACCCCCTGACACTCTTAGTAGAGGACAATCTTCCTTTTGATGTGATCATGGAAAATGATTAGGGCAACGTTGCGTATGCTGACATTAAGATGGGCGAGCACGTGTGTTGGCTGCCCAGTCTCATAGGTGGGAAGAAGAAACTGTATTTGTTTGTTTCTGGTGTAGAGAGTAGGTTGTCCCTTTGTTGTATGAATGTCCCCACGTTCGCAAGGCATGTGGTCGGGAATGATCTTGCTGAACAAGTATTTGTTGCCTATGTGAGACCGGTTAGTGAAGGAAAAAAGAAAGAGATACCCAAACCACCCAATGTGTAGAATCTGTTGGACAACTTCGTTCGCGTGGGAGAGGGCCCAAGTGAAGTGGTTGAGAGGGAGACCATCGAACAAATATAGAACCAGATAGAAATATTTTTAAGGGCCCCTCCTATCGGATGTCTCCCAAAGAGCGCGATGAGTTGTGTAGATGAGTTATTAAAAAAAGGGTGGATTAAGCCAAGTTCTTCGCCATATGGTGCACCGGTCTTGTTTGTGCCAAAGAACAATGACGATATGTGTATGTGTATAAACTACAAAAGCCTTAATGCAATTTACGATAAAGAATGCAAAGCCATTACTACGGATAGACAATCTCTTGGGCAGAGTGCAGGGTTGCAAGTACTTCTCAAAGAGAGACTTGAAGTCAGACTACCATCAAATCAAGGTATTGCCTGAGGATAAACACAAGACGACCTTGAAAACTCTATATGGCCACTACTAGTTTGTGGCCATGTCGTTTGGGTTAACTAACACCCCTGCTACCTTCCAACGATGTATGAATGAACTCTTTTGGAACTGGTTAGACAAGTTCATTGTTGTATCTTTAGATGACATTCTGTTTTTTAGTAAATCTTTAGAGGAATACGAGCAACACCTTGTATTAGTGTTTAACAAGTTGCGCAAAGCCGATTTAAAGTTGAACCCGAAGACGTGTGAATAGGTCAAGCGCCAGGTGCATTTGGGATATGTATTGGATGGGGATGGAATCAAACCGGAGGATGCTAAGACAACAGAAATCATAGATTGGTCGACATTGCGTACACTAACAGAACGACAATCATTCCTTGGTCTGACCAACTATTACTCCAAGTTTGTACGTAACTTTATTGTAATATCTGCTCCATTGCGTAGGTTGTTGACGAAAGAGACGGTCTGGAAATGAGATAAAGACTGTACCTCATCTCTTAAGCGTCATAAGAAGTGCTTGAAAGAGTACCCAGTTCTTAAAATCGCTAACCCATCACTGTCGTTTATAGTTACCATTGACGCTAGTCATTACGGGATAGGTGGTGTACTCCAACAGAATGACGACAATGGGTAGAGACCCGTTGAGTTCATGTCCTGTAAATTGCCTAGTGAGAGGGTCGTCACTTGCTGGCTAAAGACCTAAGCCCAGATGACACCTAAGTTGACAAGGTGGGGTGGGGAGATAGATAAGTTCGATTTTGCACTAAAGTCAGTCAAGGGGAAGTATAATGTTATTGTTGATGCGCTAAGTAGACAAGCTGACTTTTTTAGTACCATAGTGACATACTTAGACGTCAACGCCGAGTTGCAAGAGAAGATTAGATCCACCTATGCTAGTGATCGAGTCTATAGTCAATTGATCAACAAGGTGCGGACAACATCATACGAGATTCCGTACTTTAGGATGATACAAGGACTGCGGTTTGAGAAGACAGACATGCACGACCGAATTTGCATACCAAACAGTGAGGAAATTCACAGAGTAATCCCAGGGGAATGCCACGATACCGAGAGACATTTTGGTTGGAGGAAGACGTATGCTAACCTCCTACGTTCCAACACGTGGATTTGAATGAAACATGACTGTATAACTTATGTGCAAGGCTGCAAAGTATGTAAGAGGAACAAGAGTTTCGCTCAACCGCCCCTCGGTTTACTAAGACCGCTGCCTATACCGTCGGGCCCCGGAGACTCCGTGTCTATAGACTTTATGGACACTAAGGTGAGAAGTAGGAATGAGAAAAGCCAAGTTCTGGTGATAGTGGACAAATTTAGCAAATTCGTTGTGTTTGTACCACTCGCTGCTGAAGCCAGAACAAACTTAGTAATTCGAGAGTTCTTTAATTTTGGGTGAAAGACTATGGGCATCCCTTGACTATCGTAAGCAATAGGGATACGAGATTCACGCGCGAGCACTGATAACAACTCATGGACGTTTGTGGATCCAAATTGACTTTGTCTTCAGACAGACATTCTGAGACAAATGGACAAACTGAGCAAATGAACAAAGCGCTACAATAAGTGTTGCGTACGTAGATCCGACCAGATTAGACTGACTGTGATCAACATCTGGCTAAGGTCGCTAGTGCTTACAACAATTTCGTACGTTTAGCTACTGCTACAACGCCCACTGAACTGCATTTGGGATGACGCCCACGCAGACCTGTCGACTGTCTAAGCCCTGATCAAGTGCAAAGGCTTCCAACAGGGACTAGAGAAATGGTTGTGCAATATTAGAAAGAGTTGAAAAAGGTAAGAGAGAACATCAGGAAGGCACAATACCATATGATGAACAAGCAAATTAGCACCACATACCATCTCAGTTTGTTGTAGGGGATTTGGTATGGGCAAAGTCTAAAGAGTTTCTCCCGGAGGAGAATGTCTCACATAAGTTATCGCCTAAGTATAGGGGACCGTGGCAGATACTTGACGTGATTGGTGATGTGGATGATCCTTCCTACGTTGTTCACAGCCCTAAGGCTGCGGTATAGTGGGCTTCGGCATTTGTGTCAAGGTGTCGCATTTTGATGGCGAGCGACCACAATGCAAGTGCGTTCTTTGGGAGGGGGGAAATTTGGGAGACCAGTCCTTCAAGATATTGCGGAATACCTACAACTAGCTCTTGTAGAACCGGGACTTTTGGAAAAAAGAAGGACCGGTCCTCCGGTGGAAGCGGACTCTAAAATGAAGTGAGGGCATGTGGGCTGCAAAAGGGTCCTCAAGCCCAGACGTTGAGGCCTGTCTTCTCAAAACAGGGATGTCAAGGCAACGAAACATGCGTTTTGCAAGAGGCAACTTTGACAATTTTTTGTGCTCGGAGGAATCCGGAGAAAAATCTAAAATTTTCAGAATCCATAGATGAGGTCGTGTTCATTCCAGGAAAAATATCAAAACATTTTTCAAAAAATCATTTCGACCTCGAAATAATTGTCGCACCAATTCGTCACATTTTCCATTTTTGCCACTCAGCCATGTGTGGGCCAACTGAAAAAGAACTTCAAATTCAGTGAGTTTGCGCGCTCAGAAAAATGTGTGAAAAACCCTGAAAATTGGAGTACTCATAGATTTTGTTGTGATCTTTTCAGGAAAAATGCTAAGTAAATTTCAAAAAATCAAACCAATTGTGAAATAAATCGAAGACGCAATATGCCCCATATTCCAATTTTGTCATTCAGCCTCTCTCTCTCTCTCTCTCTCTCTCTCTCTGGTAGCCCCCCCCCACCTCCCTCTATCTTTGGTAGCCCCCCCCCCTTCCCTCTCTCTCTCTGTCTGTTTTTTTCTCTCTCTCACTCTCTGTCTCTCTCTCTCACTCATATCACCAAATGAAATAAAACTCCCTCCCTCTCCCTCTCTCTCTCTCTCTTTGGTAGCCCCCCCCTCCCTCTCTCTCTATCTCTCTCTCTCTCTCTCTTTCTTTTTTTCTCTCTCTCTCTCTCTCTCTCTCTCTCTCTCTCTCTCTCTCTCGTGCGCGCACTCTTAGTCTCATTGCTTTGGCTACCTTAGGGTTGCGTTCCCCACACCCATGCGGTTGACAATTGTCATTCCTCCGCATTTGCACACTTACCCGATGTTTCATGTTTCTAAGTTGCTCCCTTGTGTCGGCAATGTTCCATGCTGAGCCTCCAAACGGGCCACATTTTGGGGGACCGGCGGTTGCTGGGGCCCCCAAGCCGCACGCCCTTCGGACGTGCACCTTGAAGACCCGCGGCTGGCCCTTAGGCCGCAAGATTCGATTTGAGACAACATTTATTTATTTATTTGCTGTCCTATTTTTGTTTGTTCAGGTGTCGTTTCAGACCTGCAAACCCCAAGGCCGCGCCTTGGGCCAGGTTCACCAGTAGGCAGGCCGCTCTGGGCCAGGTGCAGGACCTAGACGTCCGACCGGGACCCAGACCCAATAGGCCAACATTTTGGGCGTAGGACCAGAGACACACAGAGGCAGATCGACCGGCCCAGCGCTACATATAACTCGGCCAAGGCCACGACAACACACATTTCAAGTAACTCACTTTTTGGGTGACATGTTGCTGGAGCAACACGACATAGTGCTACGCTGTAGAGGTAGGAGGTGAGGCGAAGGCCATACCTGCAACGGAGGTACTTACCTGGGTGCCATAATCGTGCTCCACGTCGGCGACCTGCACAGGGACCACGACGACAGTCAGCACACGACGGTAGTTACCTGCAGGTGAAACAACAAGGAGGACAACACCTCTTTTTCTTCTTCGTCTCGCCGTCCATCTTTGAGAGAGAGAGAGGTTACAGGCAGAGGTTACATCGGGCATGAAGCCCATGATTTAATTCAACATTTTGTGGCAAACATTGATTGAACATTCGACAAGGAGACTATATTTGGACTTCACTATTGCGATTTGGTCTTCTCCCTCACCTCCATCTTCGTCTCGCCTCTCCCCCATCTCCTCGTCCGTGGTATCTCTCCCGTGTACGTGTGCAAGGAGTGACCTTTCTTCCATGTATGCGGTCCCTCCTCCCTCTCTCACATGTGTGGTGTATGATGGGATGTCATGTGAGTATATGACAGATCAACTCATATCTCTGAGTCTTCCGCTGCGCTACATTGTGCTATTTTCATATGTATCTGGATGTACATTGCTTGTTGATGCTTTGCTGACCTTGCATGTCCATTTGAGTCCTTTTATCACTTTGTGGATCCTTGGCTTCATATACATTGCTCAACTGAGCATATATTAGTCGGTATAGGAGCCCCACGCGTGAATCAGGACTTTAACCAGACCTGACGAGTGAAAGTGGAGGATCGATCGATTGATTGATTGATTGATTGACTGATTGATTGATTGACTGATTGATTGATTAAGTGATTTATTGATTGACTGATTGATTGATTGATTGATTGATTGATTGATTGATTGATTACAATTGACTGATTGGTTGATTGATTGATCAATTAGTTTAACCTATTTAGTTCCCATTCGTGATTCATGAGTAAATCTCGATTCCAGTTTTTATTTTTATTTTCATAATTCTTTCTTTGGCGCAGATTCGTTTTTACTATTTAGAATTCTTTCTTTGACTTTGAAAAAGGAACTATGACTGAAAAGTTTTCTGCTACACCTTTTCCAAAAAGGCCCGCATGAGGTTTCAAATAAATATGCGGACAACTTGGAAGATTGGGTACACATTTTTTGCGAAGGACTAACCCCACATTCAAAAACTAGATCTATGAGAATGACGAACAGATACCTTAAGGCCAGTAGATTGACGCATGGAAACGACAATTCTCTCTCTCTCTCTCTCTCTCTCTCTCTCTCTCTCTCTCTCTCTCTCTCTCTCTCTCTCTCTCTCTCTCTCTCTCTC